CCAAGCAAGTGCCCAACACCATTCCACATTAGGACTTATGCGCACGATTCATTGATCATCCTTCCAAGCAAGTACCTACAAGTTGGGTGTAGAGATGTTGGTATTGCCAAATATGGAGGTGGTAGGATGTTGGTATTGCCCTGAGTCACCCCAACTTGAGAACTTACACGCACAATCTTCTACTGTCTAGACCTTCTGTGATGTCGCTATCACACGTAATGCCTTCACTTTACAACCTGGTTTCCTTCTGGGAACTTCTTATTCTGGTTTCGTACTGCACTTGGACTTTCCACAAGGCTTCGCATCCGATTATAGCCCCCATAGGTTACAGAAACAAATTATTTAATTTGCTCCTAGCTCGACTCGAACCGTTGATCTTGTCTGTGGGGGTTTGGGAGCTTAACCAATAAGCTATGGGACCCAAACCCTTCATACAATTAATTTATTTATTTATATACTGCTTAAAATATATAAAAATCGCTTAATTTTCTCTAAATAAAAAGTAACTTGTAAGATTAATAAAATATAACCAAGAAAAACTTAACAATAAACAAGTAAATCGCTTATACTCCTTAAGCCTTTTTATGGATTCACTAAAATCTTATATTTTGGTAGCAGTGGATTTCATCTACCACATACAATACATACTACATATATCACTTTATACTGCTTATATATATATTTCTTTTTTTGATAGATAATTTATTAGCAGCTATTGCTCAACTGATTCAAACCCACAAGGGTTGGCAGACACCATTAATGCAGAAGGCAATGTAAATGCGAATGCAAATATTCAAAATACTTCTAATAATAATGCTAATAACAATACTTTAAAAATTAGCATTAGAATCCTGATATACAGGAGAGAGCCAAAAGATAATGTTGTTGCCTGGCTTCTCCAAGTCCAAAGTATTTTTCATACTCAAAAGATCAATGATGATGCAACAAAAATACATTATATGGCCATGGGATTTGAGGGAGCTGCCTTGTATTAGTATCTCAATAGAGTAATAGTAGCAAGAAATAATACCTCTTTGCTGATTGAGATGAGTTTGCAATAGCTGTTTGCCAAGTATTTTAGCCTCCCAACTATTAGCACTACTTTCGTCAGCAACTCAAAAAGCTACACCAGATTGGGTCTGTATAGAAATATGGAACCCAATTCTATAATATAATAGATCAAGTAAAAAATATGAATAAAATAAACAAAGTTATCTATTTTATCAAGAGCCTCAAACACATCACCAAAATGAAAGTAGCTTATTAGGTGCCAGCTACTTTAGAAGAAGCTTGGGTAATGGCAATTTGATATGATACTGCAATATTCAGAACCGATAAACCTTCTTCTAACAAATCACAACAAAAATATACACACAAACCTGGAAGAGGAAATGGGAACTCACACCAATGGAATTAGATTATACCAGAAATTCCTCAAGTAATCACAAGTATAAAAAAAATAGACAGAAAGAAAATTGTTTTAAGTGTGGGTTGCCAGGCCATTATGCAAAAAATTGTAGATTCAAAAATAAATCTAAACTTACCAATATAAAAGAGAAAGCAGAACCAATACCATATAATGTTACAAACAATAGTTTGAAATTAATACAAGTAGAAGAAAATCATAAACAATTGTTAAGATTTTATGACAAAATCAATGGTCATCCAGCTTGGATTCTACTAGATAGCAGAGCTTCCTGCAATTTCATTAATAAAAATTTCATAATCTGCTATAAATTAATTCCAAAAACTATTTCTTTCCTTACAGTTAAATTGGCAGACGGCTAAAAAGCCAGCACCAACAAAGCAATTGATATTACAAAACTAGAACTAGGCCCTTATCATACCCCTGATATTTTCATGCAAGTCTTAAAACTTCAATATTATGATGCTATACTTAGTAAACCATGGTTGTATCATGTTAACTCCAACATCAATTAGAAGAAAAATAACTTGGTTTTTCAGTATGGATATAAAACAATTGAAGTCCAAGCAGATTTCCAGAAAATACAAAAAGAATATAGTTGTGATTCAATATATATTTTCTAGCAACAATTAGCCAAAGTACCTAGTAATAAAGAAATTTTTACCATACATATTAATAAAGAAGATAATGAAAACACCAGCTACTTACTATCTGAAGTTTGAAAGATTCTCCAAAACTTTAAAGAAATTTTTTCTGAAACCTTACTAGACTATCTGCTTCTAAAATAAAATATTAATCATACTATTGACCTTATACCAGAGTTAAAACTCCTATTTTGCTCCATATACCAAATGTTCTACAAAGAATTGGATGAATTAAAGTATCAGTTAGCTTACTTGCTAAAAAAAAACTTTATTTGCCTAGCATCTCCTCTTTTAGCACTCTAGTTCTTTTTGTTTATAAGAAAAAAGGAACCTTAAAACTATATATTGATTACAGAGCCTTGAATAAAACTACTATCAAAAACAGGTATCTACTTTTCCGTATTGATGAATTGCTGGATAGGTTAGTTGGTGCTAAATATTTTACAAAAATTAACTTGTACTTGGGTATTACCAAATTTGGGTTAAGAAAAAAGATATTTCTAAAACCATCTTTCATATCCGCTATGATCATTATGAATTTCTTGTATTGCTCTTCGGACTTACAAATATACTCACTACATTCATGACCTTGATGAACAACATTTTTAGAGAATATCTTGATAAATTCATTATTATATATCTTGATGATATCTTTATCTACAGTAAAACAAAACAAGATCATAAATACCACCTCCAAAAAGTTCTAGAAATTTTAAAAGAAAACAAACTCTATGCCAAGATTAGTAAATGTAAATTTTTTAAAGAAAAAGTTAAATATTTTGGTTATTACATATCTGCAGAAAGACTCTTGGTCAATGATAAAAAAATTGCTGCTATTCAGAGTTGGCCTGCACCTACTAATATAACCAAGATTCATTTATTTCTCAAGTTGGCTAGTTACTACAGAAAATTTATAAAGGAATTTTCATCTATTGCTGCGCCCTCACAAAATTGCTCCATAAGGACCAACCTTTTAAGTAAGAACAGTTTGAGGAAGCTGTCTTTGAAATCTTGAAATATTACCTTATTTCTGCTTCTATACTTGTTCTTCTTGATCCTACCAAACCTTTTTCTATCACTACAGATACATCTAACCTTGCAATTAGTACTGTTCTTAGCAACTAATTGCCAATAAATCAAAGAAGTTGTCTTCCGCTAAACTAAATTACCTTATATATAAAAAAGAATTATTAGCTATTATTCATGCCATTAAGTTATAGAAACTATATATCAAAGAATGTAAGTTTACTATAACTACTGACTATGTATTCTTAGAATATATCAAATTTTAACACCAACTTTCGTGAAGACAGGCTCGATAGTTGGAAGTCCTACAGTTAATAGATTTCGAAGTTAAATATAAACCAGGAAAAACTAATATTGTTGCAGATGCCTTGTTATACAAACATACTTAATAAAATCACTATAGTTTTAGCACAACTTACAGATGAAAAATTTCTTAAACAGGAATATTTTAAAGACTCGTATTTTTCTCTGATACTAAAAATTTTTAAAAAAGAATCAATCAGCAATATTAAACAACAAGCACAGATAAAATATTTTGAATTAGTAAATGGAAAGATATACTTAAAGGAAGGATCAAGATTGGCAATTCTAGCAAATAAGGAGTTAAGAATGCAACTACTTCATGAATACTATGATGTTAAAATGGCAGAACATCTGGATATAGACAAGACTTACGAATTAATTAGTCGAAATTATTTTTGGCCAAAACTCTACAAAGATATAAAAAAATATATAGGTAGCTGTGACTAGTATCAAAGAAATAAGTGTAATAATCAGCAACTCACTGGTCTTCTACAACCCCTAGCCATCCTCAAGGAATGCTGGAAACAAATTACTATAGATTTTATAGTCCAACTGCCTTTAACAAAAAAAGAATACAATGCTATTTTGGTGTTCGTTAACAAGCTAACAAAATACGCCTATTTTTGCCCCACTCATATTACAGTTATAGCCTCTGAAGTTACTAAGATTTTCTTTTCGACCATCTTAAAGAACCACAGGTTGCTGAAAGTAATTATATCAGATAAAGATGCCAAATTCACTAGCAAGTTTTGGCAGACTCTTTTGCCTAACTAGAAACTAAATTAGCTATATCAACAGCATTCTACTCACAGACTGACAGACAAACAGAAAGAATAAACAGAACATTAGAAGAAATGCTAAGAATCTATTCAACATACAAGCAAGATCAATAGGACGAATACCTACCAGCTGCTGAATTTGCTTATAACTATTCCAAACAAGTATCGATGAGTTTCACTTTTTTTGAGTTAGATATGGTAAAACATCTCAATGCCCCAATATCACTAGCCGCTAAATCTTTAACTTATATATCAGCAACGGATAACTTTCTCAGATACTGGGATAATATGATTAAGACAACAAAAGATGTATTAATCATTACTCAACAAAGATAAACTCAATATACAAATAAAAAGCGTCATTACCTAGAATTCAATATAGGTGATAAAGTACTATTATTAACAAAAAATATAGTTAGTCCAACTGACAAACAGAGACCTACAAAGAAACTAACTTCTAAATATATAGGACTTTACTTAATCATTAAAGTAGTTTCAA